CATAGACCGCTACGTTTCTTCCTTGTGAGAGCAAGGCCTTCCTTTGAGGGATCGAATCGATGGTGAAATAGATAAAGATCTATCGGGGAAACTGGCAATTTCTCTCGGTGAATTGTCGTTACATCCGCGGCGAGATTGACCGGAACGCGCAAAACTCGAGAAATTTGAGGTTAAACCGCGATAAGGGAGGAAGGAATCCGTTTATCAACGATTTTCCAACGCGGTCGACGGTGTATTCGTTCGGGCTCATTAGGTAAATCCGAGGGGGGGAAAAAAAGGAGAAGGAAGAGAGGAGGGTAAACTCGGGCGTGGAAGAAACAGGGCTCGGCGCACAAATTTATTCGTAAACTTTCGCAATTTAAATGTTCGCGGTGTTTCAATCAAGCGGCGCGCGTTGCGGCACGTGCACACCTGCACACGCGCCTACTCTGTACACACACCTCCCTCTTCCCTCCAGAGATTACTTTCTTCCCCCGTTTAGACTTTCATCGACTCCCCTAACCTTTTTCTCAGCGGCCACAGATTCTCGCGTCGGCGCGTTAAATATTAAAGGGCATCACGATCCAGCCTCGTTCTTTCGAACAACTTGGAAACCCCTTATCTTTCGACCCCGAAATTCGAATTTTTTTCTCGGTTCTCGGTTACTTTTAAAAACCGTTGGTTGGATGGGGGAAAAGAAAAGAAAGCCAAGGAGGGAAAGATTCGCGATTTTCCACAGCGACCTTTGTCCCATCCATCCGAGTTATCTAACCATCGTCGGAGAAAACGGCGGTTCGGGTCGTTGCACGTTGCCATCCCGTTCCTATAAAGGGATCGTCCATGCATGGATGATTCTCCGGGGAAGAGCGGTACGGAGACGGTTGAGGAGATCCGGATCGGTTGGTGGCCGATAACCAAAGCGTGGGAGGTCACTTGACCGGACGGAAATAATGCCTCCGCTATGCTAACCCTTGCTGATAACGGTGTGTACCGTTCCACGGTGGCCGCGATAGCGGCAAAACAATATCCCTGCTTGTACAAACAGGGCTGTGTGGATGGGGGTTGGATTTGGTTTTGCGCCACGATGTGTATATATATATATATATACGCCGAGATAAATCGACGGGATTTATACTCCTCGTGAAGGGGTCCATGAACAACTTTGAAGGTTGATAAATCGTCTGCGTGATCGTCTCCTGATTAAGTTTCTTTTTTTTTTCTTCTTTCCTATTAATGGATACTTTGTACTCGAGGAAATTTTTTAATAAGAGATTTACGAGATTATTTTTCGATCGACCGTGGCTCGATTCAATTTTCTATGGGTGGGTGTAGCGTTATTCGTGTATATAAAACTTGGTCGAAAAGGAGACAGGGAATATATGGTATATATTCGGGAATAGCAGGAAGGCAACGATATTACCGACCGGGAAGAGAAGGAATCGAGAATCCAGCGGGTGGATGGAAGGGTAAAAGGATATCGGTGTGGAGTGGTAGTGGTAGAAAGTCGTTTATCGAGTCGGCAGGCACGGGGATGTATCCATGCGCATTGATATGCAAAATTTGTAGTTTCGAGAAGCTTACGAGAAACTGTGTAGCGGCGAGTAAACTTCAAAATCCGATGCGCTTGTCGGCAAGGGTCGCTACACCGAGGTACGAGCTCTCGGATTTAACCGGTTCGTACTTCTGGTTACACGTGCACGCGTATATATACGTTCGGATAAATTGCGCGGTCAAATCATTCTTTAATACGATTCCAAAGCTGATTCGCATCGATCTCGATTCGGACAACTTCGTTCGCGCCTTTCGTTCTCATTTTCTTCTTCCTCTTCCTCATCTCGACTTATTCGATGCATATTTATATCTTCTCGGCCAGAAATATTTCGAGAACTTGTTCCTCGAAAATTTCCTTTTTCCACGAGAAAGTCGTCGAATATAACGATAATATAGATGCATCGTAGGCGTTGCAATGCACGCGTGACGTGTAATACGACGAGCAGGTTAGCTGTGAAAGAGCGAATGGAAACGAACGGAAAGGAAGAAGAAAAGAGATAGCCGGATGCACGCGTCGGAACCAGATAGAAACACAGAAAAGGCAGTTAATTAGCTCGAGTTAAAAGCTCGGCTTAAACGACCTATTCACCGAGTTGGTTCGGAAGAAACGGAGCGAGGAGGATCGAGGCGAGAAAGAAGGTGATCGCCGTCATTGCTTGAACGAAACGTCTCCCCACGTTGCCCGCGTCTTCCTTACGCAACGGGGGAGGAAGGAACCCTTTTATTCCAATTCTCTTTTGTTTCACGCCTCTGCGTCGCCTACAATTTCCTCGAGCTTCGGATAGCTTCCTTCTTCTCCCGCCAGCGCCTATTCTCGCCTGTGAGGCCCTCTCTTCCCCGATACGGTTAAATGAAATCCATTAGGAAACGGCCGATGAAGCGTCGAAAGAGAAATGGAGAGATTGTACGAATATAGACGTCCAAGTTAATGAAAGATCATTCCGATATCTGAAGGGAAATATGGAGGAGAAACCGGACACAAAAGCCAAGGGATGGATTTCGGTTATATATATATATATATACCTCAGCCGGAACTGGATTGATTAGAAACACACCTAAAGTTTCGAAATTCATCAGGAACGATCCCCATGCTGCTCTTCCATTCTCCCCAAGGACGAGCTTGGTTCCTCTTGTATGGGCTACCAATTACTAACATCCCCTTGAACTCTCCATCCCGAAAATTCGATAATTTTAATTATCACGTGTTATCGAGAATACGTGGAATATTTGCGATCCTCGAGTGTGAAAAAAAGAAAAAAACAATAAAAAAGGAAGAAGGGGGAGACGAAAATATATACAGGGAACCGTATGCGTATCCATCGCGATCACGGGGGGGATTGAAGAGGGGAAGCACTTGGACGAATACTCGTGCGTGTGCTCCACTCGGTCGACACTCCACAAAGCGCTTTATAGTCCGTTTATACGACCGCAAGCTCGCGATACCATGTTTAGCACACGGGTACGCGATCACGAACACGACTAGCCTATTCCAGGTACGTTCAACGGGCCCAGTGCTTCTCATGCAATACTCTCGCTTTACGACTCTCACCCCTCACGATTCGCCGAACGTGTCCAAAGTTTACGCGAACCTTTCCTTGAACCACCATATAATATTTCCCGCGATATCCTTGAGCTCGACGATTGCAATAATCCTATTGGCGTATTTAAAAAATTGGCAGGATTTCCACGCGAAACTCGAGTTGAACTCGAACGATATCGGTTTACGCGGAGAGGGAGAGAAACGGAAGGGGGAGGGAGGCGTGTTAAAAAGCGAGAGATACGATTGAGAACCGAGGCGCAAAGTAAGGCCATCGTTTCCACAGTGCATATCCGGTTGGCGCGGCGAACGAAGCTGTTACAAGCCGCGTGCGTGCGAGGAGGAGAGCTCCGCTCACGGAGCGTATTGGCGATGGTCGGCGCGCGTTAAGAGCAGCGCTAAGTGCGGTCGCGCTATGACAGTCGGCGGCATTAGGCAAATTGAAATCTTGCCGGGAGAGGAAGCAAGAGGATACCTGATTACGCCCTCTGTCCAGACTCGGAATCCGCCGTGAATCCACCGCGATGATTTCGGATCGTGGACCGTGAAACACGGAGCGTATCAAACCACCAACGTTCGCGAGATACGAGATGTTGCGGCTCCAGTCTTTCTCCCTCGTTCCACCACGAGTTCTCCGGAACCGGAAGTCGAGTCCTCCCTCTCTCGTTTAAACCTCCTTTGCCTCCTATTTTACGACGTAACTGGCTCTTTGCCCGAGCTCGGGATAATCTTTTAAGGCTCGACCACCTCTCGTCGAACTAATTTCCTTTCCTCTCCTCTCTTTCTCCCCCTCGTCTTTTGAGTTTCATTATACCCGGATTCGGTAACTATCGTTCCTCGAATTAAGGCCAAAATCGCGGCCGACTCGAATCGGGAAATAATCTGGAATTCGAGGATTATCGAGGAGGATGCGATGTATTCTTTCATGTTTTTTTTTTTTTTTTCTTTTTTTTTTTCGATCGACGCACGATCGATGTTCCCGTTTAAAGATAGGGGAAGAGGACGAGAAAAAGAAAAAAAAAAAAAGGAAAAACGACGATGAAGGCTCGTTCAACAATTAATTCGCTCGTTATACCTTCCCCGATTTATTCTCGCGTAATACACAAACGGATATCCGTTGGTTGGTTTGGCCGAGGCATTCACCTCACCGACGACCTACTATTGGAAGCGCGCCACAAGTTGTTAACCTTAGTTGGCGGTTTAATTACACAGGCAAATATTATCGAACTGACAGAGTTAATTAGATAATTAAAACTTGAAGGGTAAACTACTTTGCCGGGCTACGTACCTACGGAAACGTACTAACGTTAGGCAGTCCGTCAGACGCGAGGAAGGGGTCGGTTCGCTCCTCCACGTGTTGTACGTGGAGCGCGCCTCCAGAAAGATGGGAGAGGGAGAGGGAGGAAGGCGCAGAGAGATTGACGGCGCACCGCGAATCGAGCTTCTCCGAACGATGGAGATGGGAAACGGGATCCACCTGTTCCCGTAATAGAGGTATCCTTAACGAGGGAATTCCTCGGTCTTGCCTTTTTTTTTTTTTTTCTTTTTTTAAAACCCGGCCACGGCAAATTTGTTCATCTCTTTCCGCTTCCGATTCCCAGGAATTATTACGACCTTCGGAAGGAGGAAGTCTTCTTCGTTATTTTCAACCGGAGAACCGTTTTATTACCGTTCAAGGTTTTCGATCGACTTAAAGAAAAATTAAAATATCTTCCCGGGAAGGAATATGAAACTGTTGGGACGACAGATATATATATTCTCTAAAGAATAAAGAAAATTAAATTATATACTCGGTTCCGTTCTAATCTTCTTTTTCAGAGATAATTCCATTAAAGGCGTATTTTATTATAAATTTTTTCCCGACGACAACAAGATCGGATTTGTCGGCCGATTCTCGATAACGCCTAAGGTTATCGTGGGTTGTGTGTTGCAGGCACAAGCGGAAAGTGCAGAACCTGTTACCGTGCAAGAGCGCAGCAGGGGCGGCGGCGGCGGCGGCGGCCGCCGCGGCCGCGGCCGGCGGCCGGAGCCGAGTGTTGGCCGACGGGCAGTCGCACGGTGGAAGCGGGAGTGCGGGTGGCGCGGTGCTGTACGAGGACCTGCCGGAAGCGGTGACGCACTCGCAGCTGCATCACAGACAGAACCACCTGCCCAGCCACCATTCCGGCCAGGCGCCCACGATCGAGGTACGAAATCCCGATCAACGACACAGCCTAAGGGAACGACAACCGCAGCAGTTGCAGCGTGCTCGCGCCCCCGCACCTCATCATCTCGACTATCTCGACTACCGGGACCCGAGGGCGATACTCCGCGTCCAGGACAAGCCCTCGAGGGCGGTCTTGGGCGGCTATCGAACGCCGCGTGCCCTCCTCGCCAAATCTCAGGGTGTCCCGCTTTCGATAGCCACCCACACGCCCCCCCCGCGATGCACCGCAACCGCGGCCAGCCCGCTCCTACAGAACGGGGGTAACGTTCTTCGTAACAGCCACTTGCTGCTGGCCAATCAGAACGCCTTGATCACCACCCGCCACCAGCACCCTCTACCACCCACGCCTCCCCCCGTCTCCGCTATCCCTTGCCCTATCTCGACCACCCCCCGCACCCCCGGGGTCGAGGCCAACAGCACCTACCTGCCCCCCGACACCTGCGCCCGACCGATAGACTCCCGACTTCCCATCACTCCCACTCATCGGCCCAAGCTCCAAAATCCAGCCTTGGATCGTTCCCTCGATCCCTCCACCGGTCGGGCGCAAACAACCCCCCGACGAAGAGTCGTGTCCTCCCGGGAAGAGGTGTCGAACGGCAGGCGGCCGTCCGTCGATTCGGAAGGGTACTCGTACATCGATTTCAAACACACCGATCCGGAGTCCACGAGGCACGATTCGACGGTGGGCCTCGATCGAACGGAGACGACGACCACGACGACGACGACGACGACGACGACGAACGAGGGCAAGGCGGGCACGTTGTTTCGTTCGGCCTCGTACAGGTCGAGCTCGGTCGACTCGGACGGTTACTCGTACATCGTGGACACCGGATCTAGGAAAGCGCCGGGCACAGCGAGAAGGATCGTGGCCGAGGGCACCGAGGAGGAGGTGTGTCCGCTTTGCACGATGCAGCAGATACACAACCTTCTGAGCAAGCCCGAGGACGTATATCTCAACGTGCACGCCACGTGACACACGTCCTTCGCGAGCGACGTCTTCTTATAGAGACTGCCCCGTCTCGGATGTCTGTCCCCCCCCTGCTTCCAGTACGGATCCCCGCGCGGTAACGGGGGCAGGTTGACGATTTACATATCCCGTGATATCGTTCGGCCACGATCGCGTTGTTGCGTTGTCGACAGCCGCACGACTTTGATGAGACCGCGTTTCGAAAACTCTCGTCGTCACTAGTTACGCTCCATGTGACGGTGGTGGTGTGAAGTGGTTAGGTAGACTAGTGTCTTTTTTTCGGATTCAGCGAGCAGAGACGAAGGTGACACGGGAGGTATTTCTTTCCTTCTCGAAGAGTCGCGCCGCCTTCGCGTTCTTTTCTTTTCTTTTCTTTTCTTTTCTTTTTTTTTCTCTCTCCATTTTCGAGATCTCTGCGTTAAACGGGAGCATCGTCGAGGAGCGACACGTCTTTCTCTTCCTGTTATTTTCTTTTTCTTTTTTTCTACATTCCAACGATGAGCGAGAGCGCGAGTCGGTGATTTCGCCTTCGATCTCGTCTTCGATGCAAACTCTCGTTCCTCTTGCTCGCTATCACCTTGCTCGATAGGTGGACGAGGCGAAGACACTAGCGCGGACTAGTCAGTATTTATTTTGTTACGCGGCCTGTGCTTGCACAATCTCTCTTCTTCGTTCGAATAAACGAAAAGGAAGCGAAAAAAGAGGGCGGAGGGGGGGTGGGAAGGGGGTTGAAGAAGAAAATTAGAAAGGTCGAGGGATAAATGTGGAAAGGCGAGAGTGGCCTTACAAAATAATTATTCTCGGTTGTGCGAGCACGGCACTCTAGACGCACTCCATGGTTGTAAATAGAAAATTAGATCGTGCAACTGGAATATTGTAAATAATATACACAAAGTGAGACAGAGATTGACGAGAGAAAGAGAGAGAGAGAGAGAGAGAGAGAGTCGCATAGTGATTAATATAAAGTATTAAAAACTACCCGTTGAGGAGTAGCTGTGCAACCCTCCCCGAGGGAAGATCGGAAGACATTTATATCGGACATTTATGTTTCTCGTTTGTACAAACAAAAAAAAAAAAAAAAAAGAAAAAAGATTTCGACAAAAGATTATCGCGATTAATTGTTATAGTCGCGAGCAGATTAATTATTATTATTATTATTATTATTATTTATTATTGTCGTTTACGTATTCCATTACCGTAGCCGGTGTACGGTAACTGTGTCTTGTAAATAAATTCCGGACGGGTATTCGAGAAAGTAGGATTAAAGGAAGAAAAATAACAGCGAGAAAGTACGCGCGAGAGAGAGGGAGAGAAAGGAAGAGAGAAAGAGAGAGAGAGAGAGAGAGAGAGAGAGAGAGAGAGAGAGAGAGAGAGACAGAAAGAGAAAGAGATCCGGCAAAGTCGGAGAAAGTCCTGTGTATATTGGAGTAGTGGGAGGAAGAGAAGGAGAGTTTGAGAAAATAAAATTACTTTACTGAAAAATTTGACGAGGAGTGGTTATTGACCCGGTCCACAATCCCATCCCATCCCTCGCATCCCTCGGTGAAACAACGCGATTATCTCGAATAAAGCGAGAAAAGATACGTCGAGCGTAACGAGAGAGAATAAAGATTAGGGATCGAGAGATCGCTAAGTAGATTCTTCTTTTTCGGATGAAAAATTTTTTTCCGCAACGCGCGGAGATTACTTAACAACGCGACGAGCAAAGAACGAAAGTTTGATAAAAAAAAGATAATATTTTCACGCGGACCTATCGTCTCCCGACACAATACACGTGGACACGGAATAACCACTTCTGTGTTCAAACTTTTTCTTAAAGGGGAATGAAAAATGTACGTTCGGTTTTCCTTTTTTTTTCTTTCTTTCTTTTTTTTTTTTTTTTTAGAGGAAATACGATACAGAGGTGAAAGAATTTCCCGCGCGTAAACGAAAGAGCGGCATAAAGAGAGAAAAAGAGAGAGAGAGAGAGAGAGTGTATGTGTGTATGAGAGAAAGGAAGAACAATGAAAAAGTAACGAAACGAAAAGAAAAGACGAAGAGAAATCAAGGGAAAGATTGACGAGTTAGCAGTTGTGCCGCGTCACCTCTCCATCCGATTGCGCAATCCCGAAGCTCTGTAATTTCGCAAATGGAGTCCGTACCGCACGATCTCTCCCTCAAACGTAATTTAATTGCTCGAATAAGTCTCCCTCTTCGTGCCCTCTTCGTCTCTAATTCGGTAAACAGGGTCCGGAAAAACGTCATAAAAATTGCAGCTCGATCCAACGTCGTCCGGGCCAATCCTCGGAAATTTCTTCCCGTCTCACGGGATCGTGTCGGTTTTGAATCGTCGAATAATAAAGTACTCCGCTCGAAATCGAACGATTGAAACGTCCACCTGTTGTCGGTCTCGATCACCAGGCCTCTCTGTCGATGTCGCGACGCGTCGTTAAGCAACGGGGCCATGGCTGTTTCCGAGCCGTCGAGCGCGATGCCGCGTCGCAGAAAAAAAGAAAAAAGAAGAAAAAGAAGAAGAAGAAAACGTCTCGTTTGAAAGAAGAACTCGACTCGAAAAGCGACTCGCCAACTGCTCGTCTCTAAGCTAAGAGATCGCTAAAATCGATCGTCTCGAGTTCGAACGGTTCTTTCGCCGGATAAACCGATAAATATCCAATCTTGAAGCTGTTGCCTCCCCGATTCCGCCTGTCCCACCTGTTGTGTAGCTCAATTACGCCGCTCTAATCCATATCCTGGCACGTCGTTAGGCCACGAAACCGCGCCAGCACCTGCAACACCCGATGTAACGATGGCCGGCGGGCAAAGGAGGGAGGGATCCGGACTTAGGAAGCTAATGCAATTGTCAACGTAACTAACAATTAGCAGGTTACGGTAACGTGCCGTGACCATGACATCGCCAACTATCTACGTTCTACGATTACCTGGCCAGGGATATCCTCGATTCTCGTTCGAGGATACNATATATATATATATATATATATACATACACCGTTTGCGCAATTGGGATTCACCCAATTCAATCGTATATCCGAAGATTCAGGACGCGTGATGTGTTCGCGTTTCGCGCGATGATCGATAATGCTCGGCCTGTTCGATGTCCGGATACGCTCCGCGCTACGATGATGATTAAAGCGATCAAAATTAATGGACGCGTGGCCCCTGAATTATTGGATTCGTTACGTTTATCGGGGAAATGGGAAGTGGGAAGTTGGCGGAGAGGGGGGAGAATTATCAGGCGAGCCGTCGTACCGATACCGTCGTATTCTTCGGTCGTATCCGGTAATTAGAAGAGAGACGGTAAATTAGTCGATTAGAGGGGGCGCGTTATCGGGGCACAATGTGACGGGTAGGTGGATGAGACGAGCGGACACACGTGGGGAAATGTGGGGCAGGTTAGGCGCGTTAGGGACAACCCATTAACCTCCGTGCTCCACGCTATTACGGAACGGACATATTGCTTCCTGCTGTTGGATACGATGGGCTTAAGCCTCTATCTCAATCTCGCTCTCTCCCCACTCCCCTTCCTCCTCCTTCTCCTTCTCCCTCCTTTCTTTTCCGCCTCCGCGGTTTCATCTAGATTTCCCGCTTTCGCTCTTTATCTATCGCGTCCCATCTCCATCCGTAATTGTTGCCCCTTTTATTTCATTCCTTCTCTCTCTCTCTCTCTCTCTCTCTCTCTTTTCTTTTCGAAGAAGAGATTCCTCCTCCGTATTATGGAATGAATCGAGCTGGAAGGAAATAATTTATTCGCCATTGTTATCGAGACATCTCGAAAAATAATAACTATTAGGCTATTCTATTCTGACGATGCTTGTCTACTTTCTCTTTTCGAGTCTCTAGCGCGCACTTTCGCTTCATCATCCTTCGACGCCCATCTGCCGGATTCGAAGATTTGCCTCGCGAGCGATTGGCGAACTTGGTAAACGACGGAGTTCCGCGAAATTCGCGGGATGGCGTGATTCGAGGGAGGAAATGGCCGATCCCGCGTTGCTCCGCTGTTAGAAAGAAGCCTGGAGGGCACGTCGATTGGGGGGGGAGGTAGCAGTGACTCGCTAAGGGCGACAATTACCTTCGTTCGGGGCCGTCGTTTCTAAACGAGACGCCGGGGTAATCGAGTGATCCTCTTTCGACGGCGATAATATCGGAATCCGTATTCAGAGCAAAGAGCTCGAGGCGTTCGCTCTTTCCTCGTCTATCATCCGATCGCTGCATCACGACCGCGCCCTCCTCCTCCCCGTTAAATGCGATCCTCGCAGAGATCCGCGAGCCGATTCTTCGCGCCCCCGTGACTTGTTTAATGAAAGGATGGAAAGGAGCGAATTTGAAAGAAGCGCGAAAAGTGGAGAGACGAATTTCGATGTTCTATTGCTTCCAATCTAGCCCTGTTATCTTTGAACCGACAGGAAAGAAAGGTTTTTTCCTGGCGGAAAAAAAGGGGCGAATAATCGGGTTATCGAACAGAGAGGGGGAGGGCCCCGAATCGAAAGAAAGAAAGGAAGGAAGAAGGTCGGAAGGCGGAGAAGGGGGACGCGTGATTAGACGAGATGCGAGTAGACAAGCAGAGAAAGAAGGGTCGAACTCGAGGGAAGCCTTGGAGTGCGGCGAAAACGAAGCAAAAGTAATAGAGTGATCCTCCTTTGTGGGCTGATAGGGCCGCCCGCGGGACTTCAATTCGAGGGATGGAGAAGTATAGTAGCTCGAACGGTTTCGTTTGCCTTGGCTCCCTCGTGATTCCCCTAGATTACCGGGGGGTAAACTCGATTTCGCCGATTTCGGGGTCACGGGAACGAGCGACCGATTGCAGGAACGTCGCTCGACGCCTTCCATTTTCTTCGCGAAATTGCCAGCCAATTTTCGGGATAACGGGCAACCAACCGCTGCCGTGAACGCTGTCAACCGCTAATTTCCAATCTTGCACGCGTTTCGTGACCGTGATACGTACGAGAGATTGCGAGCGGACCGTTGCGTATCTTATGGAGCATCAAGGAAATCAAGCTTCGCCAAATTTTATTAGGAAGTAGTTGGAAGAGGATCCTTCGAACCTTCACTGTCTCCTTTCACGCGATCGTTAATACAAAGTTGCGATTCGAACCCCCTCGAGCCACTCGTTCCTACCGGATCTCTCTCTCTCTCTCTCTCTCTCTATTTCTGTGAAAAGCGGCGGCAGAGAAGGTCGAGTTTTTGCGAGAGAAAAAATTTCATTTAGAAAAGTCGCGTTTCCCCGATCTCGCTCGACGTCATTCAGCTCCCGGTTAACGCGAAGCGACGACTCATTAGGCGAATTCATCGGTGCAAAAAAAAAAAAAAAAAAAATAACTCTGAAAGCTGTCTGTCACGAGATCTCTGCATTAGGATCGCCTCGTATCTCTGTTAACCAGGAGCACGGATTAAATCGCGCTGTATCATATCAATCATCTCGTTGAATTTTTAATCCCATTCTGTCGGCGGCCGATCCGGTCAGGATTTAATTCAAAAAAACCTTTGAAACTTTTCGAGCTCGTTCCGTTGATTTTGAAACGCGATGGGTTCCGCGATGGCCTCTGTCGGGAAACAGTCGGGAAAAATTAAAAATTAGCCTTCGATAAATCTGGTGCCAGAATCGGGTTCCTTATTACTCGAGCCAGGATTTCCACGATTCCAGGATTAACTTACGACTCCCTCGTTTCATCCCGCGTGGTTCGCACCGACTCAGCGTTTTCGCGATCGAGGCTCGCCCGAAGGTGCACCTTCTCCCGCCGAGAATCTCGAGGGTCTTTAAGGGCAGGAACGGAGTTAATCGTCGACCGGGAACGCGATGAAAGCGCGCCAGAACTCTCTCTCTCTCTCTCTCTCTTTCCTCAAAACTTTCGTTCCGCCTCGAAATTACTGCGCAATTTTAATTCGTCACTTAACGATCGTCAAAGGTTCTTCAGCTGAATACCTTGGAAATTTGTCCTGTTGAACGTTTCAGCGATAATTTCTTCGGCCAGTAGCGAACGATGATATTAGATTTATTTATTTTCCCGCCTCTCCAGTTTATTTATTTTAAGAATTTGAAAACACATCCGTTTCTTATTATTATTATTAACGATTTCTTTCGCCCACGATTTCTCACCGCGACACCTTAGACCGCGATTAACCTTAAACTCGAAGCAACCACGAAACGTGGTTACGTTTCTAACCTAATTTTTCACTGTTACACACAGATGTTGGACGTGAAAGACACAGGAAGAGGCGTGTTCGTGTGCAGCAGCCCGGGTCCTGATCCGTACACGTCGCAGGATCTCTACAATCCTGTCTACGAGGAGCTCAGCAACGGTGAGTAATACCGGCCAACGATCAAATATGCGTTTCGATTGCCCGTGCAATATTCCAATTTGCACATCGGCCAACTGGATAAAGGTCTTAAAACGTTCCCCTCCTCCCCCCATATATAAACGCCAAACCACACGCTGCTCTCCATTCTAGATGAGACTCGGCTGTGAAGACTTTGAGGGGTAGAGAGCGCGAGCGATCTTCAGGCTCGAGCTCGGCCCAGGCGGAATTCGTAGGTAGGATCCGAGTGAACCCGATTAACCCATTTGATTGAGCTGTAAGAGTTAAATCCTAAGGGTGTTCTTTGCCGTTTCAGCTAACACCAGAATTGCCACACCAGAGCTTCTTTCTTTGCCTCCCGATTAATCGTGCCATTTACCTTTCCTTAACTCTCGAGCTAAACCGCCAAGTTACCAAATATTGGCGACCGGGAGCAAAGTTCACCCTCCGTTCTCGCAAGAGTTTTCCAAAGTCTTCCATCCCCTCCTCCCCCAGAAAAACTTTTCTCTCCCCGCCAAACAGAAGACGTAACAGAAGAAAACAACACGTTCCCCTCGACCGATGCAACGACCGACCAACTTTCAACCGTTCTCCCTTTGCCATTCGTCATTTTTTCTCCCGCCCGCTTATCTCCCAATTAATTCGGCCAACTTCTCCGCTCGGACGAATCAAGTTGGCCGTCCGCCGTCTAATCTCCTCTGGACCGGAATCGGAAGCTGTTCATCTTCTTCCCCGGGTGTATCTTGTTCCTTTCACGGCCGACCTATCTTGATAGCCCCGAGGACCCTCCGGGTGTCGCGCATCGGGGCATCCTCCTCCTCCTCCTCCTCCTCCTCTTCCTCCTTCTCCTCCTTCCACTCCTCCGGCTCCTTTGGTTGGAAGGAGATAAGCGTGACACGACCTCTGACTTATATTTCCCATTAGTCGGATAGCTAATTAGCATGGTGATGAGACTTTCGACGTTTGACGAGGACGCGGTAATCGAATACCCGGTTCGTTGCGCCTCGCTTCAACCACCGATTACACGTATTATGCGAGAACGTATATATATATATATATAACCTTCCCGCGATAATTCGTCTTTGTTAACGTCGCTCTTGTCCGCTTTTCCGTGGATAAAAAGAGGTTAGCTCGAATCTCATCGGTTCGAGTCTTTGAATTTTTAACTTCGACTCGTGCGCGTGTACGGGACTGACACACATTGGTGCGCAATTATATAGGAGCGTATACTATGTGCAGACGTATATATATATATTTCGTGGTTTCTAAATGATTTCGCTGGCCAACAAATTCCACTTCGTCCCGCGAAATTCAGCTTCGCTCCCACGGGAAATCCTAGTTTACTCGGTATCGTTTAAACCGATGATAAATACGGGAAGATATAAAATAACGGAGATTAAAAGTGCAACCGCGGTAATCCGAGAAGCATCCTCGAGTTTTTTCCTCTCCCCCTCTATTTCTCTTTCTTCCTTTTCTTTTCTTTTCTTTTTTTTCTCTCTCTTTCTCTCTTCTTTTCTCTTTTCTCTCCCCTCCCCCGTATAAATAAAAGACGTTGCGTCCTGAAACGAAGCGGGGACGATACATCTCTGCAGACTCGAGGGATCGGCAAACAGCAGGAACCGTAACGTTGATTAGAACCGATCCGATAAACTTCAAACTTCTTTTAACCGTCTTTTGTATTTAATCTCTTTTTCGATTTCTCTCTCTCTCTCTCTCTTCGTTTCACGACAAAATGCGCGACAATGCATCTCGAGATCTGCATCACCGGGAATGCGGGAATCGAATGCATCGCTCTCTCGTTTCGCCAGTTTCCCTTTTGTGATCGGAGAGGCGAAGTTTATCGAACGCGCGTTATCGCGTGGGGTTCCCATATTGTTTTCCATTTTTACGCGAAATATGGAAGATGGGGGGGGAAGAAAAAGAAAAAGAAGAAAAGAGGTGGAAAAGAATCGAAACGTGAAATTGGGTGAACTCGTGTATAATTGGAAATGATGGAAAAAATAAATTCATCGCGCGAATAAAATGGTAGTTTTGATTTTTAACCGGCCGCGTAACCACGCTTTCCTCCTTTTTTTTTTTTTTTTTTTTAATGACTCCGATGTAAACCGAGTTTATTCCCAGCGAGCGTCGAATTGATGTATCCTGCGCGATCGCGAGTGTAAGCGTGGCTCAATTGTCGAAATCGTAAGAGGAGAGAGAGAGAGAGAGAGAAAGATTGGAGAGGACAAAGGAAAACAGGGAGAACAAGGAAGAACAAGGAAAGCTCGCGATTGGAAACGTGACATCGATCAGACGCCACGCAAGTATCCGTTTCTTCCTGTTTCGTTGTTTTCGACTGTAATGACGGCAGCACGCTTCCCTTTCCGTGGGATACTTTCACTTAACAATCGTCCCATACTCCCCTCCCCCCATTCGCCATTCGCTTGGCAAAGTTGGAGCACGAATTTAAATGAAACGACGACCACGACAACGGGACGGATCTCTCTAACTAATTAATTCTGACACTGATCCACCGACAAGCTGAAAATTGAAAGCACGTTCCCCCGATTCGATTCGATATCATCCACTCCGATATAATCGTAACTTTGACACGCGAAAGAGATTGTCTGTTAATTAATTAACGAACTGTCCAATTAATTATCGTATCCGCGGGCGAGCAACCACCCCGCGCGGCACTTATAAATTATTCATTCCGTTCCAGGGGACCATCCGGAAACGGACGAGGAGAGCGAGTTGAACGCACGGAATCGGCTTCACAATCATCACCGCCATCATCATCGGCCCTCGTCGAAACCGGGCAGCGAGGACGAGTTCGCGGAAGACGAGCTGTCGGTTGGTGAACCGTCCGAGGCGAGGATGCTCACCTCGACGGGCCCGACCTGGGCCACTTGTCCAGCCGGTGGCAGGCCACCGCGAGAGAGACGAGGGAAGAGCCCCAGAAGCCTGGACAGGCACAGGAGGGACAAGAATCACGACGTGGGCGAGTTCCACGAGGGGATGCTGCTTGACGCGCTACTTCAACTTTATCCCAGCGTCGCGGGTAAATTTCGAATTTCTATACTATAAATAACAGGTTGGGAAGAGAATGACGAGTCGAAGATGGAACCGAGAGATTCGAATTGATTGGTTCCCGTCGATTTCAGGTGTGGCTGGCACCCGATCGAATAGCAATCAACGACAACAGTCCGTCCCATCGGTGGCCCACAGATTACCTTATTTCGTGCCACCGATGCCAGCGACGCAGGCTCTCAGGGTCGAGGAGAACCCGTACGAGAGCGTGCCGGTACTCGGCCCCCTCCATCATTATTCGAGTCAGAGCAGAAGCAACAAAGAGAGGTCCCGCAAGTCGAACGACAAATACAAATACACAGCGCAATACGGGGGATCCGAGTATTACGGATTGCAAAACCAGGACGCTGCCCCCGTTTACACGCAAGTGGGTAGCGAGTACTCGGACACCTACTCGCAGCCGACCGACCGCCTCTACAACGAGGACAAGTACACGCAGCCGGTTTACTACGCGCCACGCGACACCGAGCAAATTACTTCCGGCAGACTGTATCAAGGCCAGCCGGACAGCAGTTTCGGCAGCGACAGCGGGTACAGTCATCACACTTCCGGTACAACTGGGACAACCGGCACGCGCAGCAGTAACTCGAGGACGAATCACAGGAAGGACAAGCATCGAAATTCTCATCACTCCCATCATTCCGCGGACTACATCGTATCTTAATAGGGAAGGATAGTCGCGTGGATCGGAGCAAGAAAAAGAAAAAAGAAAAAAAAAAAAAAACGTGGTTTCTTTTCGAAAGGAAGCGTATAGATAGGTATAGATAGAAGAAAAGATGGTAGATCGTGTAGATGGTAGTAGTTCGATCCTTCGATCGAAGAAAAAAAACTTGTAATACTTTTCTAAAAAGTAGTGATTTTTATTTATTTTGTAAATTGTTTCCTTCTTGTTGTTTTTTTCTTTTTTTTTTTTTTTTTTTTTTTTTCGAGATTATTTTATTACTCTCATACGTGGGCCGATAATGAGAGCTCGCGTGATGAAACAACGTGATATATAGTATTTTAATATTTTGAAAAATGTATCGTTAATATCGTATAATAGAAGATATTGATTATCGTAGGAATGTGTTGTATCGGTGTGTTGAGTTTCATTTCAGAGAGAGAGAGAGAGAGAGAGAGAGAGAGAGAGAGAGAGAGAGAGAGAGGAATTCGTTCGAGAAACGACTCGAAGTGAATATCAGCAAGAGCAATAGCAAGAGAGAGTATATTATACATATATAAATCGTATTATAGGAAACTGAACAGAACACTCACAGGAAACAGTGATCTCTTAGTGATTTAGCAAGACTAACAAATTATTTGTAATCTAACGAGACTCAGGCTGGTACCAAAGGATGCTAATAAGATAACTTCGACTTTTTAGCCTTCTAGTTTGTAATTTATATACGAAAGTAGAGCTACTCGCGAGAATGATTTTTAACAATAACGAATTTCGTGTGAGACGTGCGACTTTCGGGAAGAAGACGATTCTACGAATTAGAATCGAAAGATACAATTGAGGAAGACGAAACCGATTCACTGTCAAAACGATCCTAAATAATTCTGCCAAGACTGCCATTGATTAATATATACGTTAAAAAGAAGTATAATTCGCCCACGTGCTCTTGCACATTCCACAACGCGATATCAGCATCAATCGAATTGTAACATACTAGCACTTAAATAAAGAAGAAGAAGAAGAAGAAGAAAAATAATAACAATACTTCGAAGCACTTAGAGAGAGAAAAGAAAGATAAAGATTCGTAGCAATACACGCACATCGGTAGTTATACACCAATGTAACGTTTTCTAAACGTTTAAAACGTACTATCGTTTTAATACTACGTTAATCGAGTCGCAATTTTTCTTCGTCAATTAATAACCAAGTTACGATGATCATCCCGGATAGCATTTACGTGGACAAAGCTTTTCGAACGCGAATGCTCAAAGGGAGCAGCTCCTATTTTTTGCAATCTCGTACGAGGTCACGGCGCGTCTCAATCAGAAAAAACCATTGGAAAGAGAAAGAGAAAGAGGAAGAGAGAAGGGGAGAAGAAGAAAAAAAAAGGAGAACGAGGGGAAGAGGCTTTTCGCAAAAGCCTTAATGCTTCTGCAAAGAGAATACATAGCGTTCCTTCTGCGAGCCCTTTCTACTGCATTTCGTCCCACATTCTCAAAGCTTCGACCCGCGAAACATTATCTGCAACCTCGGCTGCATAACTTTTCGTGTGTCGCGATCTGTTTCCTTTTCCGTCAAATCAAGATCAAGCTTACAATAACTTATCGTTTCTTGCATAGAGGGGAAACAATTCTTTTTGATGAAACCATGAAGTCGCGTCTCGAAGACCCTTTTCCTCGCAGAAAGAACGAGAAGAGGATACACGACCATTGAGCGACCGTTAATAATACACGCTTCTTTTTTTTAGGGGGATGTAGTCTTTTTTTCTTAGCCTATTCCTTTCTTAAACGATAATCTTTCGTTCCTTTTCGTAATGATTATTAACGTTCTCGCGTGTTTCCTCTTCTATTTTACACGCGTGTCAGGATAGACTCGTAACTACCGGTAGTCGCACGATTTTCCGCTCGCGAGGCGCCTCGATCACGCTACCAGAGAGACAGACCAAGATGTGACGGATAACCAAGGGACAGTGTTCTTATTATAGGCTGTACAGGCATACACGCTGGTACATATGCATATACATATAAATATACATACATATATATATATATATATATATATACATACAGATGCAAGTATAAGTATACATACTATAAATGTAAGAAAAACGAATAAATTATTCGCGAATGACCCCGTTGTAAATATTAAATTATACGAGAAGCGAAGGGAGAGAGGAAGGGAGAAGTGTGTCAGGATCACTCCTGATATAGCGCAGCTGTATCATATCGTTATCAGACTTTCTCGCATGTGCGTGCGTGTGTGCGTATGTGTGTGTGTGTGAGAGATGATGAATGATGCGTGGACCGAACGACGAGCAAAAGACGAGAAAAAAACAAAAAAAAAAACGAAAAAAAAAAGAGAAAGAAAAAAAGAAAAAAATAAGATCACAGAGAGAATCGATTTAATATATATACACATATAAAATATATAATTTTTAAATTATTTATAAAGAAGACAGCGTCTCATATCGCCGATGATTTACACGAAGATACGAGGTGTACACGAGAAAGAGTGATAGAGAGAGAGAGAGAAAGAGAGCAAAGAGAAAGATAAAATGAAACGACGATGGAAGGAAGCGATTCTATTTCAAATTCTCGCGCCAATCTCCCTTCTCCGCTTCCCGATATACTTGTACACTCTTTAGATGCATGTAGAGCGAATACCTCACGAGAAAAGAAAAGAAAAGAAAAAAAAAAAAAAGAAAAAAGATCACTCTGTTGTAAATATAATTTTATATTATACCTACGGGCAGCGAAAAAAAAATGAAGTGTGTGACTTAGCGGACACGTTTCTCACGCGAAACACTTTCCCTCTCGACTCGTCCCTTATCTATTCTTCTCTTAGCTTAAAGGCGGTACGGTAACAACGGCTATCCTGGTTCGAACAGCTATCCTTTCTTCGTGATTATCCTTCTATTCCTTTCTGCTGTTAATCTCGATTCGAATCTGGCGGCAAACCAACAATGAGAAATTTAAAATTCTAATTGGCTCGATTGGGTTCAATGCGGTATAATTCGAGCGTACGCTCTTTTCCACGCGATATGAAAACCGCGAAAAACCGCGGAACAGTATCGATCCGCGGCCGCGTAGCACACAGGGATACTCGAGAGGGAACGAGTTCGTGGGTGAAAAATAAAGGTGAACTGTAGGTGGTATTACACGTACTTATCGAGGAATGGAAGCGCACGACCAATCACGTGTGTATGATCAAAGATGCGTACAATCAAAGAGTGCAAAAGAAAAGAGAGAGAGAGAAAGAGAAAGAAGAGAGGGAGAGCAAGAGAAAGAAGAGAATGAGAGGATGGAGAGAAGGGGAGGGAGGGAGAGAGAGAGAGAAAGAGAGTGAGAGAGAGAAAGAAGGAATGAAAGAAAGAAAGAAAGAAATGGGGGAAAAAAGGCGAGTCGCGTTCGATCGGTTCGCGGCGTGGAAACTCGCGTGGAAACAAAGAATCGAAGCCACGCATCACGCAACTGGGAAGAGGGACAAACGCTTTTTGTACGATTTTACGTCCATGTTAGTCAAACCGTTTTTCAAAACCGTTTTTTATATATACATAAGTACATAAGTATAATATGTATAACAGGCGCATGTACAGTAGAAACGACGAAACTTAATTTATTATCATTGTTCTTATTTAACAGGGGATGCCGTTCTATCCCCTATCGGCAATCTGCAATTATATGTATATTCGCTACCGAGTACTTTGTCGCAGTCGAAAATGTTGTTACATTGACATTAACGAGGATCGATGTAAAATGTATTGATTATTATTATTATTATTATTATTATCATTATTATTATTATTATTACCATTATTATCATTATTATTATTAGTTATCATTATCATCATTATTATTATTATTATTATTATTACTTGTTGTGCATCGCGATCACACACAAATGGAAAATGGGAGAGTTTGATTTCGTCTTTCGTTTTTCTTTTTTTTTCTTCCTACCGAATTTTCGTTGGCCGGCCAGTTATAATAATACGCGAGAACGATGGAAGATGATGATCACTCACGAAAATCTGGCAATGATAAGGCGCGCAACGAACGAACGAACGAACGAAAGATCTCTTTCCCTTTTTTAAAAAAAAAGAAAAAAAAAAAGAAAGAAGAAAAAACGCGTATACGAATCGCGAGATTATTAATTTATTGTTGCGTTCGAAACGGGAGAGAGCGGAGGTGTCACGTTCCTCCCCTTCAATCTCGCTAATTTTAGCTGCGATTTAGCGATATAGGCAGAACAGAAGACAGTGAAAAAAAAAAAAAAAAGTCATAGGCACTAGAGTACCTCGAAAGATAACAAGTAGCACTCTTGAAAGTTAGCTTGCACGGACGTTCTCCTTTTCCATCGCGCCGCCTTGCAATTAAAACGAGGAAGAAGAGGAGGAGGAGGAGGAAGAGGAGGCGGAGGCGGAGGTGGAGGTGGAGGGGTGTGGATCGGGAGTGGAATCGGCGGATGAATAGGAAAGGGCGGAAGATCGATCGTCCGAAGGGACGTGGCGGATGAGACGCGAGAGTCGGTGAATCGTGACGTGATCGTGTAAAAGAGAGCACGCGAAAATCGGCCCGATCGATGGGGAGAACACCAGCTCGCAGAACAGGGTAACTAGCTCTAACATCTATCTCTTACATCACTTAAAAAAAAAAGAAAAAAAAAAATGAAAAAAAATAATTACTGAAAAAAAAAAAATCTCTATCACACTCGTTCACCTTATGGTATCACAGGTTCACTTTAATCACAAATGTCGGCCAAGGCTAACTCGAAACACTATCACACCTTCGTACTAATAAACGATTTACTATTCAATTTCACATTTTATGCGTCTGTGTGATGATTTTATCCCATCCTTTCTTTTTTTTTTTTGTTTTTCTTTTGTAATTTCAACTTTAATCTTCCTTCTTCGATTTCCCTTCTTTTTAATGATCATTATATATATATATATATATATGTATATATGTGTGTTATATGAAAAATTAGGTCGAAATATCGGATGAATATTTAAAAAAAAATGAATAACGATAACGCGTAAACAGCGTATATCGACGAGTCGACAGAAATAAAAAAGAAATTATGTGTAAGTAATCTATAACAACATTGAATGATGGGGATAACTCAATCGTAAGTCCAATTTCGCGCGCATATTTTCCATTAAGCATGCATCGGTTAGCACGAATGTAAATTTCATTTGGAAATCATTTGTCACGGTATAAACTTTTCATCATTTCGAATGCATTTACCATACAAAATTCCACATCC